ACTGATCTAGATTGTACTAAATCCAGCTTTGTTAGGTTTACTGCCAACAAAGCCAACTGCATCAGGTAAAGTTGAAAAATACATTATTTTCCATCAGTAATTCTCTCATAGGTTTTGCTCTGCTGCGTGTTTCAGGAAATAACACAGTGCATTATAAAAGCGTGTGATGTGTTGCAGGTAACAGCATATTACATTCAGCAGCAGACAGTGTGACAAGTGCAGTACAAAAAGCAAGTCAGGCTTTGAACGAGCGTGGTGAAAGATTAAGTCGAGCTGAAGAAAAGACAGAGGACATGAAAAACAGTGCTCAGCAGTTTGCAGAGACTGCACACAAGGTATTTCTTTCCATGTTTATTATCATATTTGTTCCTTGTTTTTCTGTTTGTATAAACACTCATGAAACAAATAAAATTCAATTGAGGGAAGAGAGAATAAAATAAGACAATAATACTGGTGTGAATCAGTTTGCAAGGAGATACCTCATATTGATATGAAATATTTTCAAATATTGTCTTTATATTTTCCTATTATTATGATTTTGGAGGGTGCCAAACAATGGTATAAAAGAGCCATTTTTATGAAGCAGTTTAAATAATAGCAGTTCAAGGCCCAACTTGTTAAGGTAGCACTGAAGGAAATACAATATTGTATTAGATACTCCTTGCTCAGCATTAAGATCAGCTGATGTGGCCCCACATCAAATCTCCACCTTGACTTGAATGTCAGGAAATACCATTCAGCCTGTGGATCCATTGGACCTGTTCTTGAATGCATTTGCAGTTGTCATCTGAAAATGAATGGGCTCTTGGACATAAAGTTGCCCTATTTGAATTGAGAGTTTAATCTGAAAGCCATTCAGTATCTCAGCAGCTGTCTGCTCTTGGGAAAGCTGATTGGTACTGAATATGCTGTCTTTAAGGAAAGTTATCCACTCTTGTTTATCCTTCATTTAAGGGGCCACTCATATGATCCTGAAATTCCCCAGAGTACAGTTTAAAAATCACTGCTTCATAGTGAATAATAGGAATGGAGCAATTGAGATACCCATTCTGTAGGCCTTATGAGATACTGTTACTGACTGAGAACATTTTTATGAAGCAGTTTAAATTACAAATAGATCTGGGTTTAAATCTAAGTACACTGTTGTTACTTTCATTCTGTTTCTACTGTTGTAATAATTTGCAAGTTCTTTCATTTTATAGCATTCTTCTTCATTTCATTTACTGTTCTGTTGTTTTCAGTGCTGCATTCAGTACTATATTATAGACTGCCACCAAGGAACTCCATTGATCAAAGAAGGCAGTAATTTCTTTATTATGATTCTAGATTGCCACTTCTTTTGGGATATACTTGGCACCAGGAAGAGAAGGTTGCCACCGCAAAATAATTATTTGGGATTACAATCAATTAAAAAAACAAACAAGCAGCATTTTCCTGCTGTAGTCATTGTCAAATGCTGATAGAGTATTAGAATTATTTAAAACAATTATTGCATCTCATCTTATTATGAAGACCTTATTTAACAGTGCTTACAGATATCAAGCATTCATTTGTTCATTTCATTGCACTGCATTACATTTTCATAGAATCCATAGAGTTGGAAGATATCTCAGAGGAAATCTAATCCAACCCCCTGCTTAGTACAGGATCTAATAGCACATCTCTGACAAATGACAGTCAGCATCTGTTTGAAAATCTCTAGCAGCAGAGACCTTACCACCACATGTGGCAGCCCGTTCTAATGATTGACAGATCATACAGTCAGGATGGTCCTTCTGATATCTAGCTTGAATCTATTCCCTTGTACTTTTAACTCATTGGTTCTGCCCCTGACATCTGGGTCAATATAGAATAAGTTCACTGTCTCCTCTATGTGATAACTCTTCAGATATTTGAAGCTATTGTCATATCTCTCCCCAGTCGTCATTTCCATAGGTTAAACCTATATAGATCTTTTAACTGTTCTTCATAGGGCTTGGTTTATGGTTCATGGTAGCTGTCCTCTGAACTTATTGCAACTTGTCACTGTCTTTTTTGAATCATGGTTCCAGAACTAGACACAGTACTTCAGATGGGGTCTGAGGATAGAGCAAAGTGGAATAGTTACTTCCCATGATCTTAACTCCATGCCCCTGTTAATAGCATTTGTCTATTTAGCAGCTGCATCACATTACTGACTCATGTTTAATTTGTAATCAGCCTGGACACACAGATGCCTTCGACATGTATTACTACCAAGCCAGATCTCCCCCATCCTATATTTATGCCTTACATTTTTGCCACCCTTATGCAGAACTTTACGTTTCTGCTTTTTAAGGATATAAGCAGTGCCCTGATGGATCAGACCCCTGGCCCATCTAGTCCAGCAGTCTGTTTTCACAGTAGCCAACCAACTGCACAAGGATGCCCACTAGTCTCCTAGAAGATGGCCTTCAAAGGCAATCACACTGTCACCAGGGCTAATAGCCATTGATCCCCATGATTTCCATGAATTGATCCAACTCTTTTTTGAAGCCAGCCAAGCTGGTAGCAAGCACCACATCTTATAGTAGTGAATTTTAAAATTGAATTATGTGTTGTGTAAATTCCATCCTGTTCATTCCAGCCCACTGTTCAAACCTGTGTAGATTTGTTTGTATCTTTACTTTCTCCTCTAAAGTATTAATTATCCCTCCCAGTATTATGCCATTGACAGCATTCCTTCACCTCCATCATCCAAACCTTTAATTATAATATTAAATAGTACAGAGCCCAGGATAGGGACCTGTGGCACTCTGCTCAGTACTTCCCTCCAAGGTGAAGTGAAGGCATTAACAAGCACTTATTGGGTGTAGTCATTCAGCTAATTCTGAGTCATATAACACAAGTATCATATAACCCATATTTTACAGTTTTACTAAGAAATATATCAGTAAGGTGCTTTGTTGGAGGCTTTGCTGAGGTCCAGGTACACTATCTCTAGGGTAATTTCATTTTCTACTAAGCTAGTAACAATTAAGGAGATAAGGTTAATCTGGTACAATTTGTGTGCAACAAGCCCAAGCTGTCTCCTTCTTGATAATATATTAAAAGATCTTGCCCAATGTAGACTTCAAGCTGATAAATCTGTAGTTTCCTAGCTTCCTCTCCTTCCCCTTTTTAAAAATAAGAATATTTGCTCTCTTTCAGTCTTCTGGGACTTTATGAGCCCTCTAGGAATTCTCAAAGATTATCAAGAGTAGTTCTGCTCTGCTAGTTCCTTTATTATGTATTTCTAACATATTCCAAGAATTCAATTTTTTCTTTTCTTTTTCTTTTTTATTATTTTATTTTTGTCAAGAATGAATACTCTTTTTTAGAGAATATTATTTTTAAACTTGGAGCTTCTTGTTTCCATTAATAACTTTGAAGTAATAATCATTCTTTCAGGATTCTTGGTTACAGCTAAATAATTGTAAAACACTTCAAGACTCTTTTACAGAAAGCAGCAGGTTTTTTAAAATTTATTTAAAGTGTTCCTGGCCTTTCTCCTCTCTTTGATCTTGCATATAAAACCTTTTCTTAGAACATGTATTATTGAAGAAGTAAATATGTATTTCTATTTCAGTTAAAAGGATATAGTGGCCTTAGAAATCTTCATAAATTGGGATAGTATGAATTAAAAACCTTCCATCCTTACTGAGTAAGAGCTGTGCTTTGTCTTGAACCTTTACTATTTACAGTTAAGTCTGAATCATAAGCACTGGTGATGAGATGACAGCTCCTGAAGCAGAATAGCATATGTTTAGATGGTTAGAGATAGAA